AGGTTAATCGATATTTCTTTTAAATCTGACTTTTTTTTCTTGGGCTAAAATAATTTTTTAATTTAATGAAGCAATAAATGAAAATATCAAGGAAATTAGCCATAAATTTAAATGTAATAAATATATTTTATAAATTTAAATGAGTTTAATTTTATACATGTAGTCAAGAAACGCAATCAAAACATTTGGCACTTCTAGTTTTGTTTTTACATAATACAGAATAATAAAAGATGACGACTACATTAACATAAAATTTATTTTTTACAGATCTTATTACCATAATCTTTACATAAATTTATTACAGTCACATAATTCATCACGAACAACAATTGTTCTATAAATAATGTACAATAAATCATGAGTTTTCATTTTCTGCAATACTGGTTTTGAGTACTTCAGTGTTTTTAGCTGTACAAGTGGTAACGTAAGTTTTATAAAGAACCAGTTTGCTTCGTATGATACTGTAGCTGTTGTCTAGTACCAAAGTATCTGAAAAGAGAAAACAATGAGTATATTTCGATTGATTATTACAGTTAGGCATTCACTATTAAATAAAACAAAAGTTGCAAAAGTTTGTTATTCAATATAATGTTGGTTTAATAATTACTGAATACAATACTAAATTATGTAACAAAAACTTAAAAAAAGTAAACATAAAGTACCCTTAAAACTACTAACTAGTACTAATTTACAGTGTAACTTCTAAACTCTTTTATAAATTTCGATATGATATGATTTGTTTGCGCGTGGTACATTGAAACAATACTTGATTTCCTGCCATTTATTGGCCAGGCATCCAAGAAATCGAACAACAAAAAGGAATATTTGATATACAGGGTGATTATAATTACAGTCCCACTTTCAAAATGCTGTAAAATGCTGTACTCGTCACAATTAGTTCAAATTTGAACTGAAGATAGTTGAAGGAGAGGAAAATAGTATGGCGTCAAAAAAAATTCGAAATAAAGTTCTACCAATTTTTCACCGTAACGAATTTGGTATGACCTTGCCGTGGTGGATGGGCATTCCACTAACAGTGTTATAACTGTTGAATGACTTGGAAGTCATTTTTTCCATCAATAAGCCGAAACAATCAAACGCACATTGAATACTACAGTTGGTTTAATGTGCAACTCATTGCAAATAATTTGTAATTTCGATTCAAAATATCACTGGCAGCCTAATTCACTTTCTTTATGCAGCTTACAGAACCATCTATTAATATACTTTGGAACGTTGTTTGATGTCATACCGTTTGCCCCTTCTTCAAGTATCTTCAGTTCACATTTGAACTCATTGTGACGAATGGTTCTTTTTTTTATAGCATTTTGAAAGTGGGACTTTAATTATAATCATCCTGTATATATTTTAAAATTAGTAATGACCTAAAAATCCCGTGAATCCTTAGACATTTGGTGAAATTTTCTTAAAATAATCGACTATATAAAAATGCTACAAACACGAATATTAAAGTGAAGTGCCTCACACAGAGATAATGGCATCATTTATATGAAGAAGAAAAAATAAGACCTAATCCACAAAAAAATGCATAATGTCTCTAAATGATTCAAACTCAGAAGATAAAGAGAGTGGTTCATGTATAAAAATGAATGTGAACTGTTAAGTAATTAGCCACTCACATTTTCCGGTCCTTTCCGCCAAGTAGCAGCCGTTCTCCAGGCCGTAGTCGCTGTTGATGACCTTGGGCTTGACCACCACCTCCGGACACTTGCCCTCCGAGTAGAGGAGGGACACCTTGATGTCGCACTTGCTGCACTCCACCTCCCAGCCCACCGTCGAACAGGGCACGTCCACCTTCAAGGGGATGCTGTGCTTGGAGCGACGGCCCACGACCACCCTGCACACGTTCTCGTCCTCCTGGTTCAGGCAGTTCACGTTTCTTAGATACAGCTCCTTCGGGATTGGGTTGAACACACGAACCTGGACGAAAAGATAATAGTCAAATACAATGCATTTCACGTGAAAATCTATTGGTTTTTATTTTGATTCATCACTTTTATATAAATCAGAGGTGGCCAACCCGCGGCCCGCCTTGGACATTTTTCCGGCCCGTGAGATTTATGACACTTTAAAAAATAATTTAAGATGAACATAATGAAATCAATAAGCCATTCATATGTACTATTATGGTCACAAAAGGTAAAACTCCATGCAATGAATGAAAACCTTGTTTTACAAAATCAATATATTTGAAGTTTTTCACAAAATACAACGATTTAAATCCATATTATAAGAACAAAAGAGAAACTGAAACTTGCAGAACAACAGCGAAAGAAAGAAGGAAAGAGAAAATGAAATTTGGTTTGAATACAAAGAAAGGCACATAGTTTGAATAACAGGAAACAAGCACTAAAGAAGATTGCTTAGAAATTGGCAATATAACTGGCTAGTATGGGAATACCCAAAAGTGTAAATTAAATTGTAAAAAAAAAAGGAAAAGCTTCTAAAAAAAATGTCTTAAATTGATTGTTATAGAGCAGAGGTGGCCAACCCGCGGCCTGCTTTGAACATTTTTCCGGGCCGTGAGATTTATCCCACTTTTACAAAATACATTTATTTTATAATGGTCAAAATACTTGAAACCAATGTGTTAAAAAAATACATTATGTGTGCATCCCTATATTCAAAAATTAACTGTCGAAATTATGAGAAAAAATTAATTTTCATTTTAAAATAATATTCTTGCGAATATAGGACAGATATTGCCTGTTTTATTTATGATTTTTACAGCTATGAGTTCACAGAATAATTAAATTATATTCTGCGAACTCGCGATGCGCGCGCATCGATTTGCAAAGGCTAAATGAAAGAGTGGAGAAACACATATCGCACTAGTAAAATAAATATTTTTTAATGATTTCATTTTTTTTTTCGTTCAGATTTATGTATTTTTTATATTTCATTTCTTGTATTATATATTTCTTTACCATGTTATACAATTTCTTTACAATATCATTATTATTATATTGTCTATGTTTATATGTAAGAATAAAAGTAAACACAAAAATAATAACTCATTATGTTCCAATTTTTCACTCCAAAAAATGTCTATAGTCTATAGTGGGCCTACAATTAATAAGGGGTTATATAATTTTATGTGTGGCCCGCGGAATTAGGATGCATTTCCAAAGTGGCCCGCAAGATTATTTGGGTTGGCCATCACAGATCTAAATACAAGTAATTATAAATGAAATTTTGGTTAATTCACAATGCAAAAGAGTAACATGAATAACATTTTATAAATAGATATTTTTGGTTCTTACAAGTAAAAACTAACTTTGTATATAAATTAATATGTAATATGTAAGTATGCGTATTAATACGCAAAAATATAAATATGTAAGTATACATAAATATGTAGGTATATAAACTGACATTATATTGTAAATTATATCGATTTAGAATGCTTTCTATGTTCAATATAATTGTGATGGTTGGTTGTTATCTACTTAATTGCACTGCTAAAAGAACTTTAACACCTGATATTGATAGATAAGAGGCATTTCTTGTAAGAATTTTGGGTTTTTTTAATTCTTTTATGTAACATTCATTCGTTTGAAATTGCCCCAAATTTTAAAGGATTTACATAATTTTAGGTAACTACTAATTCTAGAATATATATTCTTTCAAGTAATGAATTTTAAGATAGTAATCAAATTACTTTTTATTTTAATATAGTGGAATGCACACATCTTCATCTTCTTCAATGGCCTGACAGCCCCATGATGGGCCCAAGGCCTTCTGCCTAATGGCAGATTCCGAAACATAATATGTTGTTTTTGAATGCACACACAGTATTATATACATTATATGATATTATGTATACATTTGTATTATATATTATGCATAATTACATAACAAAAAAAAATACATAAAAGAACAAACGAACGAATGTACGTTTTTTCTGGTAGTTTGTTTTTATTGCTGAGTTTTTATTATTTGTTATTATTAATTTTTTACAATTTATTCCAACTGCACGTATCATTCTTGTGATGTATATAGCTGAATTCTATTTTTATTAGTTCCTTATCAATTAGAGATTTTAAAAAGCATATTTAAGATATAAAATGTTCATAAGCTTGTTGATGTGAAATACAATTGGTTAATATACATCTTAAGTAATTCACATTAATGTAAATAGAAGACTGCTAAAAGTTTCAGATCTTTTATTTTAACGTCCTCCCCTCCCCTCCCCCCCGAAAAAAAGTTGAAAATAAATAATTTTTTTTGTTTGATTATGGTTTACTCAATTCATATCACGATCAATTAAGCAAATGTAGAAATATTGGGGAAACAATGAATATACAAAAACAATGAAGTGCCATTAAACATTAATGATAAACTACAAGTGAAAACATGTTGCTCAATAAGTAATAAGTGAATAAGGGCATACTTATTTACTGTTCGTACAAATCTGTTGAGTTTTTATTTATAGAGTTATTTTATAATCTATGTAGTTATTTAAATGTTTATTATAATCTTGTGAGGTTTTTGAGTTCTTTTCATTTTGAATAGTGACTTTTATTTCACTAATAATGTTATAATGTTTACAAAATATTTTTTTTTTAAATATTACCTAGAATGAAACATTGTGAACGCTAACATACAATATATTTGTTGTTTCCATTGTTAAGGGACTTTGCAACAAATTATTCTACATTTTTTTATAGAATAATTGTTTGTTGTTTGTTTGTTGTTTCTTATCCCACTTGGCTGGCCAAGCCCACGAGCCCATACGTACTCATGATTGAAGGGGAAGGAAGCAGCTTCTGTTGTGATGGAGCACCCGTAGGTAGAAGCCTGACTTTGGCTCCGTGACGCTCTTACAGTCATAGGAGACCGGGACCTACGGCTTAAAGTGGATTCCGAACCACTACAAACATCCATGGCACCGCCGGATGAACCGGAAACCTGTGGCACCGAGCGCCAGAGCGCTAGACACTCGGCCATTTAGGTCCCAAATTTGTGAATGCCAACGGCAGGTGGTCACCCACCCAAGTACTGACCGCGCCCAATGATGCTTCACTTCGGTGATCTAACGAGAACCGGGCTCAATAAGTAATAAGTGAATAAGGGCAAACTTATTTACTTTCGTACAAATCTGTTGAGTTTTTATTTATTGAGTTATTTTATAATCTATGTAGTTATTTAAATGTTTATTATAATCTTGTGAGGTTTTTGAGTTCTTTTCATTTTGGGATAGTAACTTTTATTTCACTAATAATGTTATAATGTTTACAAAATATATTTTTTTTAAAATATTACCTAGAATGAAACATTATGAAAATGCTAACATACAATATATTTGTTGTTTCCATTGTTAAGTGACTTTGTAACAAATAATTCTACATTTTTTAATAGAATAATTGTTTGTTGTTTCTTATCCCACTTGGCTGGCCAAGCCCACGAGCCCATATGGACTCATGATTGAAGGGGAAGGAAGCAGCTTCTGTTGTGATGGAGCACCCGTAGGTAGAAGCCTGACTTTGGCTCCGTGACGCTCTTAAGGCTCGTGCTCACCAAGGCGACAAGATGCAAGCGACCAAAATTTGACCTCACCGCGGTCGCCTGAAACCGGTTTGCAGTTCGCCGCGTGGAGTAGCCCAACTTTCAACTCCAAGCGGTTTTTCACTATGCGTAATGCTATTTCTGACGTTTCGCTGTGAAGGGGTCGCAAAAAATTTGGTCGCTTGCATCTTGCATCTTCACGTCTCTCGCCTCGGTGGGAACGAGCCTTTACAGTCATAGGAGACTGGGACCTACGGCTTAAAATGGATTCCGAACCACTACAAACATCCATGGCACCGCCGTGATTCGAACCCGAAACCTGTGGCACCGAGCACTAGAGCGCTAGACACACGGCCATTCAGGTCCTAAATTTGCCAACGGGCACGCGGTGTTCCCAGGTGGTCACCCACCCAAGTACTGACCGCGCCCAATGATGCTTGACTTCGGTGATCTAACGAGAACCGGTATATTCAGCATGGTACGGCCGTTGGTACTAATTATGTTGGTACCAACATGGGATGCATGTTGGAATGCATGTAGGTACAACATGGGATGCATGTTGGAATGCATGTAGGTACAACATGGGATGCATGTTGGAATGCATGTAGGTACAACATGGGATGCATGTTGGAATGCATGTAGGTACAACATGGGATGCATGTTGGAATGCATGTAGGTACAACATGGGATGCATGTTGGAATGCATGTAGGTACAACATGGGATGCATGTTGGAATGCATGTAGGTACAACATGCATTATGTTGGTGGTAATTGGTGTTTCACTAATAATGTTATAATGTTTACAAAATATTTTTTTTTAAATATCACCTAGAATGAAACATTATGAATGCTACCATACAATATATTTGCTGTTTCCATTGTTAAGGGACTTTGTAACAAATAATTCTACATTTTTTAATAGAATAATTTTATTTTAAAAAGAAATTAGCATACTTCTTAGCGTGTCCCTGAAACTGTAATTCAGAATAATCATTACCCATTATTAATGTTCATATGCCTTATTATGTTTTTATGTTAACCTTATTAAATTCAGATAGTAAAGGACTTTTCAAGGAAAAATTAAATGTAAGGGAAAAAGGAAAGGGAAAAAATAATCTTCAATAATTTATCTCAGCAGCAATTTTCATACGTAATTGTATATAAATCCAAAGTTAAAAACAGATAGTTAATGTGTAGGAAGTAGTATTAATAAATTCAGAAAAATTCTATACCACTCAAGACAAAATTTACAAAATTTAAATAAAACTGCAGAATACAGAAAAACAGTAACTTAGTGCGTGATGAAATTTAATTTGGATTCAAGAAAATACTTAAAAAAAAAAATATATAAGGAAAAATAAGTGTAGGGAGGGGGAAGTAGCGATAAATTGAAAAAAAGGGGGGAAATAAGGTAAATTGGAAAAATAAAAGGAAAAAAAGATAATTTGAAAAAATAAGGGGGGGGGATAAAAAAAAAACAAGAAAATAGAAAAATAAAAAGTAAAAAAAGATAACTTGGAAAAATAAGGATAAAAAACATAAAATGGAAAAAAAAAAAAAAAAAAATCGGGTAAAAAAAATAAATAATTTGAAACAAAAAAAATAAAAAAATATAAACAGGGAAAAATAAGGGATAAAAAGATTTGGAAAATTAAGAAAAAAAAGAAGAAAAAAAAAAAAAAAAAAGGAAAAAAATAAGAATAATTGTATATCTTACCAATGACGGGCATGTAGGATCCCCATCTGGATCAGTTCTTGTGCCGCCAAAGATAACAGGCAAGATGTCAGCATCCATATGTTCCCGAAGGTCTTCTTTCCAACCATCTATTCAATTATATTAATAGAAATCTTTCATTTTTTTCAATTCCTTCTATTAGCTCACACTCTCCCTATATATATCTTGTTCAAATTTTCAGTCGTTTATAAAATACTTTTTATCCATCCACTCAAGTTCAAATACATTTTTTTTTAACTTGTAGTGGATGACACTTTATGTTAATGCAGTTTTTTCAAATATTAATTCAGTAATTGAATTTAATTAATTAATTTTAGTTTGTTTTAGATTTAAGTTGCATATACCTACCAATAGATGGCGAATGAAAATTATTTATGAAGGACTTTCTGCAATAGAGTGAAAAAAAAAAGAAGAAGAAATTGACTTTTAAAAAGTTTTTTTTTTATATTACTTGTTTTGAGTTGATAACAATCCATTTCTTAAAAAAAAAAAAAAAAAAGAGTTAGCTGTTTCATTGAAATTTTAACGTTGGCTTCAATAAGTGCTCGTATTATAAAAAGCACACAATTCTACCATTGTAATTTTAGGTTAATTGTTGTTTAGTTTCAAACATGAGAGTTGGCAATTTAATTGTAGAATATAATAAGTCAAAATATGCTTAAAAATATATTAGAATATTTTAATTCCCACCACTCACTGGGTACACATTAATTTTACAGATTATGCAATATTAACAGATTTAACAAGAGAAGTCAGCATAACCCTAACAATTTGCAGAAGCTTTGAACTAGCTAGGAACTTTTTTTTAATTTTTACAGTGCTATAAAAATAGTTGAATAAATGAAAATACAATGCAACATTCAATGATGTATAAATCGAAAAGCAAAACAGATGTATTGTAGTTAATTATTAGAAAAAAATAAAGTTTGATAATTTTGATGTTTTATCATGATAACCACAGACTAAAGAAAAACAGTCCCTTTTCTCAAGCAACTTTGACAAACATTATAACTTTGCCACCTCCTTGCCAGATAGACGGGAGGGACGTCTACTAGATAACACTGGTGATTTTACGATGCAATGAAGGAAAACAAAAATGATGCTTAAACTTGGTACAAAAATAATTTATTATTTTATGTAATTCAAACAAAAAAAAAATTAAGTAAATCTCATGCTAGTTTAAAATTACTTAAAGAAAAAAATTTGCCAATTTAAAAACTACAAAAATAAAAATTATAATAGAAATAATCTCATTAAAACAGACATGTTCTATATTAGGGGTCTCCAAACTACGGCCCGCGGGCGAAATCCGGCCCGCCAGTGTCATCAATCCGGCCCGCGACAGCGAATAGCTTATTATTGCTGTAATAAGTTGGATAAAAAAAAAACAGAATGATAATAACTCGGTTTTATTTACTTGCTAGGTAAAGCTTAATAACAAGCATAATACGCAGAAAATTTAACTTAAGCATAACAACTAACAAATAATTAAAATGAATCCCACTAACATTATAAACTAATGAACATCCCGCGGTTACCCTCGGTAGTTATGTTGGGGTAAAGAGTTATGCATATGTATGTATATATCCTGAATCAAACATATAATTTTGATATAACAGGAACGGAAAAACTAAATTAACGTTAATGAAACCGCGGGGTATACTACTACGGAGTATACACTTGCAAAAAACATACTAATGAGATTTATGTAATTGTGATTTTTCACTGACAATAGTTTGTAGTCAGCAAGCGTATGCTCGCTCAGAGCGCGTACTCGACGACTGGTCTCGAAATTATAAATAATGGCAGAAAAATTAAAACGGTTTTGGCCCTTGGTACTTTCTGGAGTAAGCAGTATGGCCCTAAGGCTGGAAACTTTGGAAACCCCTGTTCTATATAAAAAGGAGGCAACGAATTTGCAAATATTTCTAGTTGTTGGGTATAAAAGGAATCTGAAGTCATTTTTTTCTTAAATTTTTTTTAAAAACACATGATGTGCTATATAATATTAGAAGCATTTAAAAAATATTACAAGTGGTTATTTCAATACATACTTTTTGAATTAAATGATTTAAATGAATGATTTAATAAATGAATACTCACTGCATCCATAAATTTTGAGTTTCTTCATCGTGTCTTCGGAAAGCAAGGCTTTAAACATATTAAACAAGCAATAAAAGAAAGATGGAGCTGGAAAAAATTTCAATAAAATTTTCATTACAAAGTTATTTAAAATCGATACAGTTATATAAATATTATTACAATTTGGCATTACCATAAATCTATATAATTTGGAGAATGTTTTTTTTTTAAATAGTTTTCAATAAATAGTTAAAACTGTATTTTTGGTATAAACCCTATTTTTTTTTTTTTTTTTTACTTTTATAACAACTAAGACCTTAATGAATAATCTTGCGTCTTCAAAACTGTAGAAGGAAACAGTTTTTTTAAAAGTTATAGACCATTTGACAAAAGATAACCAAAAATAATATGAGTCTTTTTCAAATACATCCAAGCATTCTAATAGATTCTCACTGTATATACAATTTTGAATTTTCAATGCATGTATTAAAATAAATGCTTATAATAAAGCAGCAATTTTTTTAATTAAAAAACGATAATTAGAATTTTTCTTGATAAAAAATAGATGTTTTATTATTGTTATAACCACATATAGTAAGCGTTTTAACATTTAAGACTCGCTTTAATGATATTATGATTGATTGTATTTTGCGTTTTCATAGAATTTTTAATAATAATTTGATATCCATCTATAATACGTATTATATATTAAAAGATCATGTAA